CCCCAAAACCCCAAAACCCCAAAACCCCAAAACCCCAAAACCCCATTTCAAATACTTTAGCTGAATCAAATTGGGATGTATAAATTTAAATTAATATGAAAGTGATTCTCTGAATCTTCTTAGTCTTAGCTTTCAGTTATACAGCAAGTGCAACTGAAGCTAATAAAGGTAATGCAACTGTGAGTGCAGGAACTCGTGTAGGAGCGGGAGAACTTGGATATAGGTCTGGTGGTGTTTATGGTACTGGACTTGGATATGGAGGAGCCGTTGTGAATAACTTAGGCCTCGGATACGGAGGAGCTGTTGTTGAAGGAGCAGGACTTTATAGAGGTGCTCTTGGTGGTGCTGTCGTCGAAGGACCAGCTTACTATGGTGGAGCTTATGGAGGTGTTGTTGAAGGGCCAGCTTACTATGGAGGAGTTCATGGAGCGGGAGCGGGAACTGGTAAATGTAGAACTGCTGTTGCTCAGGAGTACGCTGTACCAACTCTTGAAAGAGAAGTTGGATATGTTGCTGTCCCAGAAGTAGAGAGATCCTTCGGGTACATCGACGTTCCAGAGGTCCAGAGAAGAACTAACTATGCTACTGTTTATGATTATGAGACCGTCAACAAAGCTACTGTTATTCCAGAAATTGAATACCAGACCGTTACTGACGCCTATGTTGTTCCAGAGTATTACACCCAGCCAAGATTTGAGTATGAAACCTTCGACCAAGTCTCTTACATCCCTCATGTTGAGGAAGTCGATGAGGTTGAATACAGGACAAGATGCAACACCGTCATGGAGCCAGAATACCACACTCACACTGAAGTTCAGGAGATCCCTCATGTTGAATATGTGACTAGGACTGATGTAAGAATGGAGCCAGAGTTCAGACATCATGCTGAGATTGTTGAAGATATTGAGTATGTCACTAGATACCAGACTGTTGAAGAGCCAGAGTTTAGGCTTAGGACTGAGGTTATCCCAGAGATTGAGTACGTTACTAGATATCAGACCGTTGAAGAACCTGAAGTTAGATATCATACTGAAGTTGTCCCAGACGTTGAGTTTGTAACAAGATACCAGACTGTCGAAGAGCCAGAGTTTATTCACCACTCAGAGATTGTTCCAGAGATCGAATATGTCACAAGACAGAGAGTTGTCGATGAACCAGAATTCAGAACTAGATATGAAACTTATGACGAAGTTGAATATGTCCCAAGACAACAAATTGTTGAAGAACCTGAATTCAGAACCAGATACACCACTGTTCCAGAAACCCAATACATCCCAAAACAGAGAGTTGTTGAAGAACCAGAGACCTACTACCACACTGAACATCTCCCAGAGCTCCAGAGAAGACTTAGATTCGAAACTTACGACGAGGTTAGACCAGAATTGTCCTACAAGACTGAAGATGATGTCTCCGTCACCACCCACACCGAGACTGTCCCACAGTATGAGAGATGTGTTACTTATGAAGCTGTTCAGGACCAACCACTCACCAAAATTCAGGAACCAGGATTCACTGAGACCGTCGAGAGACACAATGACCTCCAAGGGCCAGGACTTGCCATAGAAAGAGAAATCTATGACACTCCAGTTTCCAACAGACAGTGGGCCCAACAATGGAGATCTGACTACGGACCAATCAGTGAATTCGCTTTCAATGACTTCAGATGGAGAAACCCATCCTTCACCCCAACCGGTAGAGTTACTGACTACGTAGCCCCAGTTGCTGCTCCAGTTTATGAAGCTCCATTTGTCTATGAAGCTCCATATGCCTACGAAGCTCCATATGCTTATGGACCAGGATTTGCTTATGAAGCCCCTGTTGCCTACAATGCTCCATTCGTCTATGAAAATCCAGTTGTATATGAAGCTCCAGTCTACGAAGCTCCTGTTGTATACGAAGCACCATTTGTGTATGAAGAGCCAGTAGTTTACCAAGAACCTATCTTCTATCAAGAGCCAGTTGTTTACCAAGAACCAATCTTCTACGAAGAGCCAGTTGTCTACCAAGAACCAATCTTCTACGAAGAGCCAATTGTCTATCAAGAACCAATCTTCTACGAAGAGCCAATCTTCTACGAAGAGCCAATCATCTATGAAGAGCCAATCATTTACGAAGAGCCATACGTTGAAGCTCCAATCCTAGTCGAAGAACCAGTTTACGACGGATGGTATGATGCTCCTATTGTTGCCGAACCAGAATACGTCGAAGAACCAGTTGCTGAAGAATATGCTGCAGAGTACTAAATTTAAATTTCAACTTCATGAGCCATAGTCGGGGTTTTGGGGTTTTGGGGTTTTGGGGTTTTGGGG